TTATGATACTTTTACTACATAATTATAGTGATGTATACCGAATATTATACTATTTCAGTGTATTATTCGAACAACGCGAGAACTTGGCATAACAGAGTCAAATGCAAGATTTTTTGTTACTTGCTGCATTTTTGTGATTTGATATTGAATTTTGATAATGATTTGAATTTGATAATGATTTGATTATTGATCATTTAAATTGGATAGTGAATTTTTTGATATTTGCTAAATTTTAAGGGTTTAATGAATGATGTGTAAATGCACGTGCCAAAAATATCCTAGTCAACATATATTATTAGACGTCTTTCACATCAAACTTAATTTATCTATTAATTTTAGACGTCCCCATTCCCTAAACGAAAATATACTTGTTAATCTTTGTGTGTTGCAGGAACTTATTATTGTTATGATTAAATTACTCATCCAAGTTCGCTGGCTTCCAGCGAAAAAGATAAAAGTTTCGTGAATCCTCCAGCGATACCTGAATAAGACAGCTGATTATTATTCGTGGCTACGTTCGATGGATAACAACGCATGCTTGTCTTTGTCCGGTGAATATAAAAGAGAGAGATATATCAGATGCATCTTATGCATAGATATCAACGTTCACTGAATTGCTCGTTTTGAAGAAGACCAAAGAACGCCGCGAGTCCTTCAACGAAACCGAAGAAGGCAGCGATAGTTTGCACTCGTGCGACTACGCGCGACAGATAATAGCGAAATGCAACGGGAACGGTGAAATTATAGTTTTTTTTTTCGCACAACACAATCACACCGATACCGCGAGATATGGATCGAGGGGAAGGCCTACCTTCGCGAAAGTGACTAATACCCGAGTCTATATACAGCCGACGCGTCGTGTCCCGCTGTTTCGTGCAAGTGGAACGCCTCAATGTGCCATTGAGCATTCTATTCCGCGACACGAATGTGGGGAGTCGTAAGTGCCGTCAAGCTGCTACTGCTTGAAACCATTATCGCGCGCTATTACTTCATAATACAATTGCAGCGGCGAAGGTGGTCAGTGACTTCTGGCTTCGGCAATCGGGACGCTCCTCGAGACGTGAGAGCCGCTCGAGTCTTCTTTTCGGCGGAGTCTCTCTCTCGTCACGAGCTCGTTCATCGAACTGATCCCCGAGTGCCATCAGAAGACGATTCGATATCTTCTTGCAAATGTACTTCTTGTACGTGTACGACTTCTTGGACACGAGAAGAATTTACTCGCACGGGAAAAAAGGGTCGATTGCTTGAATTAACGTGACAACGACGCAATTAAATGTGTCTTGCTGAGAGAAAATGGTATTTCTTAAGCACCGAATTTGATTGAGTTAACATGACAATGATGAAGAAAGAACTTTTGATTCTCAAGAATCGAATTTAGTTGAATTAACGTGACAATGACACAACTAAATGTGTTTTGGTTGAAGGAAATAATTTCTAGTTCTTGAGAGCCGGATTTGGTTGAGTTAATGTAGGAGTTACGCAACTAAATGCGTTTTAGTTGAAGGAAACTGCATTTCTGATTCTGTCATTGTGCCATGTTAATTTAGTCAATCTTTTTCTTCTGTGTATTCAGATAAGTAAGAAATATCCGCTTGTTTCAGTGAGATTTGATTTTTATAAATTTTTTGTGGTTGTACATGTCCTTCTATGAAAATTAATTTTCGGAAGACGTTTGCATGATCGATTGTGTACTGAGAAATTAATACTTGATAATCTTAATGTTGCAATCGAAATACGCGATGCGCAACCATCGCGTTGCTTAACGTAACGACTTCCGGGAAAGGGCTCGTGAAGCGAATTCATTTCAAGTGCTCTCCTTGCCATTGACTCGAATTTCTCGGGCGATTCTTAACTCACCGCCTGGCTCTGACGGATCTGAGTACGCTCCACTTCTCCCGCGTCCCTTTTTTTTGCGACTCGTGCAACGATCAGTTCTACGATGACTAGTAGAGCACGCTGTATTACGAGGTCATACGCGCGACCTGTGTCTCAGATAGCAAGAAAACTGATCGAACAAGATGAACTGAGAAAGGAATTGATAAAGTGCGAGGCGACTAAGAAATGAATTAACGCGTACGCGATTTCTTTACGTGGAAGTAGAAGTTGATAAGATTATACGAACTGTGCAGCTAAACATTCTCGTAAAATTCCAAGTTTCCTGCATGCATTTTACATTTCATAATTTTAAGATTTATCTTCCTATGATTTTCTATAATTTTAAGACGATTAATTTTATTCTAAGTGACTTATACTTAGAAAAAAAAATACTTGAAAATTTATTTGCGGGATATAAAATTTATCTTTGTAAAATAAACTTTTATTTCATAAACACATTTTCAAATGTTCTTTTCTCCGTGTAGAATATAAAAAATTCTCTTGTCCGATAAATAACTATCTCTTAAAAAGAAATAGTCATGAAGAGAATAAATCTTTTTTTGGCTATATATAAATGTTTATGTTTCAGTTACTATTAACTGAAGAAAATATGTAATTTATTGTAGAAAAATACGAACTGCGAAGATGCACCGCGAAAGGAAAGAATCGATATTGACCGCGAATGGTGTGACCTTATTTATCTCAAGTGAGATGAGAACGCGACATTCAACGTTACTACTCTTGTTTTACTACTCTTGTTAATCATTCTTCAGCTGCACGCAATTGATCTTCTTTTTCGGTCGACTGGAATGAAGAAAAAGATTGGTTTCAGCGGTGTCCAATTATCTTCGGTTTTCATCGTAGTGCAATCGGCCATTTACTTCTTGTACTTGATCAAATTACTTTTTCTACTTAATGAGATTTAATCGGGGAAAACAGTGCGGTTAATCGATATGTTAGAAAATACTTATTACGAGTAACTTAATCTAATTGATAAAAAACTCTCATCTAACTCTTCAAAATTCAAATTTGAATATTTCATGTGGAACAATTTCAAGTAACGACTATTAATAGCCATAAAGATTGAAGAATACGGCCAACCAGCCGCTGAGAAAAACAATCATACTTGAACTTTATTTGTGGGATATGAAGCTTATTTTACAGAAATAAACTTTACGCCTCACAAATAAATTTTCAAGCATTTCTTCTGAGTGTAAACTATGGAAAAATACTTGAAGGATGAGTGTGGCTAAGGATATTCTTTGTAAACCCCCTTTTAAAGTCCCCTTTTTGGCTGTGTAGCTGAAGTAATGAATACATACATAGAGAGAACGATTTGATTGAATCAAATAAACGCTTCTTTGGAATAGTCCAAACGAGTTTTTCGATTGATCGAACAAAATTTCGTTTAAAGCAACAAAAATATTTATTTGCGGCTTAGTCCCAAAGAAATATTTTTGTTGTGTCAACCAAATAATTTATTTGGACTATTCCAAAGAAACATTCATTTGATTCAAATAAATCGTTCTCTCTGTGTACACATTTTTTAAGACGAGTTTGCTAACGAACGCCCGACGTACTTTCGATTTATTTCGAGATACCAATCAACTGTGTTCTCATATCATATAGGGTGCGTTCGAGGAGCTCGCTATCAGTGCTATTCAGCGCTACCGTGTCATTCTATCTTTCTTGTATATCTAAGGAGCGATACAGATAAAAGAACGCGATAGCGTTGATAGCGTGCTCCCCGAGAACGCACCTATAGACGTCTCTCCTCCCAAGTCGCGCTCTTCGTCCTTCAAGGATCGACTTTTGGATTCGTCTGGTTGCGCGAGCGCTTCGCTGGACTTCCATTGGCGGTATTAACATCGACGCTGAACAGATCGCGATCGTTAGCGCGCAATAGATCGTCTCGTCTTACGACGATGCGTACGTCGCGATACATCCAGGCGGTGGGTGCGTATAATATGCCTTATGTTTTATGCAAATCTTATGCACGTGATCAGCGAGACACGAGACTCACAGACGCCGAAGCGAGACAAAGGAGAGATCAAACGCTGCGGAGGCAAAGCGTCAACAGGTGGGATGAGATAAAAGACGCTCGGCAATCGATCCGTTAGAAGTGAAACTCAGCAATCGGAGTAATGCGTTATTCAACCGGAGTAATGCGCTCGAGACAATTCGATTGCAATTTAATTCACGAATTCTCTCGATACTCCTTTGCGCAAAATTGCTAATTAAGGAAGCTTCCGGGACTTTGATTATGCGTGCGTGTGCGAATCGGTCGCATTATCTGTGGAACTTGCACGTATGTCTAATGCCAACCGATGAATGCTTGAAGGCAGAGCTTCATCGTTAGTAAAGTGGCGTACGGGATAATCCTCCAAAGTACATTCATCAATCGGAATTAATTTAAATAAATCACTTCCAATTGCGATGTTGATTTCCTGACAACGCACACAAGATGAATGTGAAATGAGACTGTTATACGGAATACGTGAGATCTGCATGAAATTTCAAGAACGTATTCCCTGAAAACGATTTCCTAGTAGAGGAATTCTGTTGCGACCTTTCCATCGCCAGTTTATACTTTTGACTGATATCGGATTGGCGACTCGTTGTTGTTTAAATATTTGGGTATTTGGGACATTCAAATATCGTTGAAATCAAATTTTCCTGAGGCAATCCGAGTAATCTATATTTGTAGTCTTAACAATTGATCTCAATAAATTTTAATTTTTCTCGACAAATTGTAATAAGAGAAATTCTTGGACACTTCTTTCAATAATAATAATAATAATTCCACAACAAAGCAAAATTTTGAAAGTCTTAGATTGATGTATCATCTTAGATGTATCATTACATACGAATGAGGCGCGTATCTGCGAATACTGTGACCGCAGTTTTGGAAATTTCTGCAAGAGGAAAATCCGACGCCAGACTAGTCAAGGGACGCTCCGCTGAATTTTAATGGGAGTCTAGATGAGACAAGCAGACAAACACAAGTCGGCCAGGACAATGGCACTCGAATCGGACTTATCTCCCCGTCTTTATCGTCACGTTCATTTCGATTTCGTCGGCGGATGATAGACGTAGGCGCGGGCGAAAAAAAGCGCGTGTCTCACCTTGTATCTCATCTCGTCGCGGTATCCTTCACTGTCTGGTCCTTCCCGACGCAGTCCCTGGCGCTCGCGTGTCTGCAAAAGGACGGAGCAAATTATTATTAAAAATATCCCCCATGCGCGTTTCGACACGACGCCGGTCGGCGCGCTGAATCACTTGTTTTGCATTGAATGACAGAACGCGCACGCGAATGACATTATACTTTATTTTTCTCTCCGGTCGTCGCGATTCCTTTGTGATCACGGACCCGCGTCCTCTCGGGAAGACAACGACACGTCGCAGTTATCGTTGTCGCTCCCTCTGTGAGAGAGGAACTTTCTTTTTGCGAGCTTCTCAATCGAGTTTTGAGTATGCATGAAATATCATCTGCAACGGGAATTAGGCCCGCTTCCAGAATTCCTTTGTAACGGCAGCTCATCTCAAATTACGCGCGACGATTAGCGTCGGTGAGTACGGCTTTTATAGAAATTTGGAGAGCTGAGAGAAGAAACGGATGAGCGCGTCAACTTTTACCGGATATGAAGACTTGGCCAGAGTGCGGATAGCACCACTTTCATAATGATTTATCTTCCTAGGACCGGCACGCTACATTAAACCGTCAACGAATCGCGAGTTGCTTGATAGCTCGATTGTCTTAAAGCGCTTTCATTCGCGGACGAAAACGGATGTACCGTTAATCGGGAGAGTTTCTTCTCTCGTGTGAATACATAAATTTATATAAATATATTAAATTTGTACAAATTTATAAGAATATATTAAATTTATATAAATTTTTATGAAATTTTTATTTTATTTTTCAGGAAATACTTTCTTTATAAAATTTTGTTATTGGTTCATTAATTGAATTAATTGGTTATTAATTGACTTATTCATACGAATAAGTCTAAATTAAAAAATTTTAATTAAATAAAAAGTTTGTAAATGTATATAAATTAAGTCATTAAAAAATAAAATTTGTCCGATTAACGATACGTTCGTTTTCGTCCGAATGAAAGCGTATTATTAATAATATTTTTTAAAAATAACATATATAATATTTATTTATATAAATTTATTTTTCGTGATGCGCGCACGCATGTGTGTGTGTGAGTAATACCATCTTTTTCCTTTGCTATCATCTTTTCCTCATATTTAGTTTTATGTAATTTATGAACTTTTATTTTTCTCGCTTGTTCTCTTGGATTGTTTATTTTACTTATGGCAAAATCCTCAAGCTTGTAGATAAAGAAAGAAACAAAAGTCTGTAGGAATTATTGCAAAACAATTTATTGCATCAGCCCTCTCTCAAAGGATCTTCACACTTACAGGCAAGAAAAAGCGACACGATCAGCTCATAATCCACTTTGAAATTGTTAGGAACTTATTTAGAATTAGTCCGTCCGGCACGTATAATTATCATACTTCGGCGAGCGCTCTCCACACGTTCGACGCGAGGTCTGAAAACGAAAGGATCTTTCTCGATTAGCAGGTTAAGCCGCGCGGAAAAGCGTGCGTCCGTCTAATCACATGGCGATTTACTCCCTTTTGTGCTGCGAAATTGCGTCGTGAAATCGCGAGATCATTATTAAATCAGATGCATCCCGGCGGATCGACGAAAGCGTGCGGCACGCAGCCGCTCTCGCTCAGGATCGGTTGAGCAAAAATTCATATACACATCCCGATTACGAATTTCGCGCTACCGCCACCATCATCGTCGACGACTTTCCCTGCTGTGTTCTTTGACGAACCGCAAAGAGTAATAAAACAAATGCTGGAACAATCTTGATTGTGATTTCGGCGAAACCAAGGAGAGATCTATCTCTCTATGAGAGATCTATCTACTTAACATTATTTTATGGCAATGAAAAAATATAAAGACAATTATGTTCTATGTTACATCTATCTTGTTCTTATTTTTGTTCTTTCAACATATTCATACATTAATTCATATGATATATATACTATATATGTTACATATATATATAAAATAACATATAGTATATTATTATATGTATAATATATATATATATATATATAATATATGTATGTTATATATAACACATATACACACATATATGTATATACTCTCTTAAAATGAATTACTGAATAGTTACTGATATTAGTTATAAGTATAGCACTGAGCAGTTTCAGTGCTGTACTTATAGCTGTAAATTAGTGTATATTTACTGCTTTCAATGATGTTTCACTGATTCACTTTAAAAGAGTATATATATAAACATTAATTATATTATATGGATATCAAAGTGTTGTGAAGATTTAGCGATATATATCTAAAATATGATTGTATTATATATATATATATATATATATATATATATATATGTATGTATATGTACATATGTAACCCGTATGATATAATTAATTTCCTATACGTAAACGCGCGCATAATTCATCATTTGCAACATATATTTGCATTGTCATCAGAGATCATTGTACCTTCTCGACTGGTACATTGCTCTCGGGCAACGTACCATCGCTTATCGCTCGAGTCCGACCCTGCTCTCGCCGCGAGATACTTTCGATTTCGCGTCTACTAATCGCATCTGCCGTCACGCATCTCGTGCGAAAGAATAATTGTGGTGCAACAGTCTCGCGTGGTCATCTTCGATCATTTAACGCCGCCAACGTCAGCGCAGTTAGAAGATACATGGAGCATGAAGTGGATAACTGCAGATACAGTTACTCTTATGCAACGAGAAACATCCACAATTGTAGATGTATTCGTGTGGGGAAGGGTTGTAGGGTCCAGACGCGAATATACAGGGTAGAAAGTGGAGCACAATCGTGCTCCGCGTTACAGAATGATTTCTGAGTTGAACTATTAGGCTGAACTTCTTAATTGTGTAAAACAATCGACGTAAAGAGTTTGTTATCGAAGTATACGGAAGCTTGGAAGTTATTTTTATGTGGTCAAGCGTAATTCGTTAGTGATAAAAACGACCAATCAAAATGCAAATAAAATTTGAATAAAACAATGAAGAAATGTAGGTAAAAAACAAAGGTTAATTCAACGTTAATTTTACGATTGTCTGTCGATTGTTAGAGCGACAGGAAAGTGTTCGGAGTAAATCAAAAGTTAAAGACTTTTGAGACTTTATCAAAGTAAATAAAAAATAAAGCAAATAAGAGCCAACTGCTGATCTTAAAGGCGAAAATTATAATTTAATAAAAGCTTGTGATACATTTATTTAAGTATTACAAAAATTCAGGCGTTTCGGTCCAAGTTTCGGACTCTCTTCAGTGATAATTACAAGCAATATAGTTTCAAAAACATAGTTACAAAAAAAATCGCCTTAGTCGGTTTAATCGATTGCAAGTGCCAATTCTTGGATACACTTTTTTATTTTGACGTACTTTTGAGCACACTTTTCCTCACTTCTGATATCATGAATCAAGATGGCCGTGGCGAATCGGCAGGAGTTTTGAGCAAACACACGAAAAAAATAATTTGCTGCAGCAGCAAACTAATTTGTTACGGACAGTTAAATATGATTCGCTGTGTTAGCTACCTTTTTTTGTTGCTGGAACCTATTTTCTTGCTATGATAACAAGAAAATCTGCTTCTACAGCAAGAAAAATGGCTAACGTAGCAAATTTGTTACAGATGAACAACTAAACATAATTTACTGTTTTAGCTATTTTTTTTTGTTGCAGGAGCAGATTTTCTTGTTATCATAGCAAGGAAATTGGCTCCTGCAGCAAAGAAAAAGCGGCTAATACAACAAATTATGTTTAATTGTCCATATGCAGCAAATCTTTTTTTGCGTGTACGAATCTATCTAGAAAATGAACGGCATCTGGCGTGGGCGTAATTCACTGATGATAAGAATGACCATTATCTACGAAAGTCTATTTTTTCCTAAAGCGCTTTTTCCATGTTACACCGCCGAAAATGATTCCTCAAGGTTCCTAAAATTATGCAACTTTCCATGACGGAAGAACAGTTTTGATAGTTGAATATTCATTAAGAAAACGTCAATCTCTATTTGGAGGATGTTCTCGGTCGCATAGGCCTCTTATCAAGGCTCACAAGATATAAATGCTAAGGATATAAACGAACGACTCCCGCGCTTCAAGGAAGACTCTCAGTCTTCAGTGCGAACTTCAGAGACTCCCGTCTCTCAGTGCGAACGCCAAAAAACCTCTATGTGAGGGCCGCAATCAGGCGCTCGTTTTAAAATCTATTCATAAACGCCGAACGGAAAGATTGGCGCTCCTCTTCGTACGTTGAGGCGCGTTCTCCGTCTTGCCGCGCGCGGTGACGATCGCGTAAACCCGAAACTTAACTTCTTTAAAGCGACGCGATGCACCGGCTGTTTCTTTTGGCGCGTCGCCAGGGGGAATAATTTAACGTCTCGGGGAGGTGCTTCTGTTGCAGCAGGCACTCCATTAATCTTCCACCGCGTATTTTTTCCCAACGACATTTCCCGCAACTTCCCGCAGATTGTCAACGTAGATCGATCGATCAACACGATACGCTTCGGCGGTGCAGAGAAACCCACGGACGAAGAACTGCACTCGAACGACGGGCAGGAAACAGCGTCGTGTCCGTTTACCCTTTACGACGAATTTACGATATTATCTCATGAGTCTTATTAATAATACAAGCGGTGCATCGACATTCGGCACGGGAATCGCCCGACTAGTTCGTAGAACTCGCCAGCGGGGAAGAGGAAATATCCAGTCACCGTGTTCGGGAGTTTCAGGAATTCGACAAGAAGTGACTTTTATTACGAGCATTGTTGAGACACCGCTCCGAGTGGACGTGCGTTGAAAAACAATAATCCCAGAGCGAGCATAACGAACGCTGCGGTCGGTGACGTCAGGAGATGCCCAAAAAATTCATCTTGAATATTCAACGCCGCGAGAGAGATGCTTTCACCTTCTCGATAAAAGTATCGACTTCGCAACGTCAAACTCGAGCTGAGAATGTCGCCGGCGATAAAAAAAAGTGCTACAATAAGTGGCACAAGGAAGTCTTTCAATTAGAATATACAAAAGAATATATGCTAATAGTAGAAAAATTATCCCTTCAGACGTGATTGCCGAAATCCCGGCTGGGGTTGATTCACGATCTCTGGGAAATTGCGTGCGCGATTTCGAGGTAATTCCAGAAAATGACCATTGGACCTTTCACCTTTTTCTACTTGTAGGCTTACGTGAAACCTGTTGTAAAGCAACTAAACAGATAATTTCGAAATAAACCGAGACGATGTTCCGCTAAGATCTTTCGCTTTTTCCTCCTTCCGTTGAGACCTTTGAGGATCTAATAGCAAAGGGAGATGTTACTCGTCAGTTGGGTAAACATTAACAAGAGAACAAGAGAAGATAAATAAGAAAAGACAAATCTAAAATTGTACACGGGGGGGAAGAGAAAGAGCAAACGCGCGGTGCTGTGTTCCTAAAAGAGACAGAGCCCGTAACAATAAAGAAAATTATTTGCCGACCTTTGCTTTGAGCAATTTAAACGTTTCATTCCCTTTCTATAATTTATTAATTTTAATTTAAATACTAGAATATTATTTAATTTATATAAATTAATAACGGAATCGTGCACTTCCAGAAACCTTTCGCCAACAATTCTGTATATACAAGGTTGAGAATTAATAACTTTTTATTGTTCTTCTTTATAACTGCAATTTACTTATTGCCAAAAGGTTTTTGAAAACATTTTTTTTAAATATACGTCATATAGTTATACAAAAATGATCCAATCCAAAAAATTGTAATTTTTAAGTTTTTGATATCAATTTAGTCCATACGGTTTCTCACATAGAACAAAAAGAAGCCAAGCCTTATGAGCGCTTAAAATTAATTAAAAGACAGTTTTTATTTTCTACTAGTTGCTCCATCTTTTACTAGTTGAGCCTTTTTTATTCATTTTTAAAGCTTTCAAGCTTTCTAGCTTGTTAAGTTTGTGAATGAAAACGCTTAAAGAAAAGAATATTCAACATGCTTGACTTCTTGAACGATTGTGAAATACCTCAATGCTATCTGTGCTTTTTAAATCATATACAAAATGTTCACCTTCATTTTTCTCGAAACCTACTTTATGTGGGTTGGATCATTCTTGCATAACAGTCAATTATGTAAACTGTATCGTTGTCAACAAACGACTATATGAGATTGCACAAGGTTACACAGGTGCTTTTTGTGTTTTGTGGAAAAGACCTTCGACCTATCAACGCACATTACGTGTATGATGCGCCTGTGTATGCGAGAATGTTTAGCATATCACGTGCACCGTTACTTGATATCTGATGATTATAACTCAGTTTACAACGGTTACAATAGTCTACAACAGTTTACATCGTGCAAATGTTAGCAATATTTCCTTTCCGCTAAGAAGGAATAACAGTCTTTTCTTCCAATTTAAAGAATCACGAAATTGATAAATCTTAACATTAAAACCGACTTTTACAGTTAGCCACAACTTCATTCTTTCCGTTTCATCCTTTTTCGATGACCTTCTGTCATCGAGAAAAAAAGAAATCAGTACACTATCGACTAAAGTTATGTCTAACTATAAAAGCGTCAGCTTTTGGAATTTTCCGTAAATATTCCTGCCAACTGAAAATCGAGCAAGCCAATACATTAGATTCCTGTCACGCTGAGGAAATGGTGTTGAAAGGTCGATCGACCAGCGCTCACCTGTTCGCAGCTTCCCTCGGCGAGCTTCTCACGAGTGCATGTCCAAGAGAGCGCAGATGAATGCGAGTGCCCGCTCCGACTTCTTTTGCTCTTTGTGTCGCTGGATCTTTCCCCTCGCGGAAATAAATATAGACTCGCGGAACTAGAGTGTATGCACGAGACAGAACGCAAGTGCGCGTTTTTTCTCTTTCTCTCGATCCGTGATTTCTCTCCGCGTCTTTGTCTTGTGGTCGCCGCCGCCGCCGCTTCACGTCATCGCTTCGCGGGTTCCGTCTCTTCTCACTTACTGTTCTTCTCTCTGTCCTTTCCTCTTATTTCTAGGACGGCCGCGTGCGTTTCCGTGTGCCGGCCGCGGCAGAGGTTGCGACTCGGGGGCCGTTGGTAAACTAAACTGAAGTTTCGATTTGCGGAGGAACGACTCTAATCTTCGAATCCCCCACCATTTCCGCGCCACGATGCCTCGCCAGGGACGGATCGCGGCGCGTGGCCCAACCGGATTGCTCTGCGCGAATTGCGCGTATAACGCTCGAAAAGTGACGCGTCGTATGTTGATTCTTATGTGATTTTTGCATGAAACGCGGGAGCTTTGCGGAAGATGACTTTATCATGTTAGACTTAAAAAATAATTGTTGCAACGAGAAGAGAAACCTGTGGTTCGCGCAAATATATTGCTCTAACCTACATTAAACAGTGAATCAAATTATACATAAATATATAAATACATACATAAATAACTATACACGAATCGAAATATAATTATGTTTAATTAGTTTTTCGTCAATGGTCCGAATGATTTCTATTTCCTAGCTCTTAGAGCGGTATTCAGTCAGATCTAAAGTAGTTGTATTGCTGTGTGTCGTGTCTTCAGTAGCGCGTATCAAGAAAGCCACTCATAAATTTATATACTCTCATGAAACAAAATTACGTTCCATACATTTAGTTCACTGTTTAAGCATCACTGTTAATTTTGAACGAAAGATTGAGATAAATAAATAAATATAAATACACATATTATAAATACGCAAAAACTATTATTTCTTGTTTCTGAAAACAAAAAAGTGGTCAATAATACTAATCAAATACAATGGAACTTATATATTTTTCTTAAAAAAAAAAAAAAAATACAAATATAAACTACATCTTCTTTCTTTCTTCATAATTTATGTATCATGCATTGCACCCCAAAGGGATGATTCCCGTTAATAAATAAATAAATATTAACCTTCCACAAGACAATGTCCTGCCGCACCTGTCAGGACACTCGGATTCGCGCGAAACTCCTCGCCACCCGCGGGACGGTGACGCGCGGCGGGCGCGCAGTGACGACGCACGTCCTTGCCGTCGATCTCGATCGGTCGACGTCGTAGATCCTCGCGTTTCCCCGACGGCGCGCTTTAAAGAGACGAGGGATTTACGGCCGGCCAGCATTTGCCGCAAGGCCTCGCAGGTAGGAGGTGTACGACGTCCGCGCTCCGGGCGCGGCGCCACTCCTCTCTTCCTGCGGACGCGCAACGACTCGTAATTGGCTCTCCCGGCTAACTCGCGGATTAGATCGCAATTTATCTTGGCCTCTTTGACCCAACGGTGCTCCCCTCGATCGCGCGCGTGGGTCGCGAGGGCCAGCACGCGTATCCTCTCCGCGTACGCGGCAGTTCGCTTCTTCGCGGTCGTAGATCACGTGGACGGTGGTCGCGCGCTGAAAGGAAATCGAGAGGAGAAAAAGCCGAATGCCCGATTAAGGGAGAGAAGAGAAGAGAAAGAAAAACGATGCGAATTACACGCCCGCCGAAGCGCGATGCGCAACCGTGTCTTGAATTAAACATCGCGCCGTTCGCCTTTTGTTTATCCTCGGCGTCTCGCTTTGTTGATACTTCAAAGCGCGCGCGCGCGTGATATCGTTAATTAATAGCGATAGAATTTGAGACTCGAACGAGTTCGCGAAGTAGGTGAAAGAGAGTCGGTGGAAACTTAATTAGATGGATCTCAGGCCGGAGAAACTTGTTTCTATACATCCCGCGGAGAGAACTCGCATTACCTCTCGGATCTCGATATGTGATCTACATATACCCAAAAGAATATGATCTTACAGCGGAATCTCTCCTTTTATATGGCCTCAAGAGGATTCTTCTGAGGCTAGAAAAGGATTATATTCTATGCGCAGTTTTCTTAAAGAGTTAAAGGAACTTCGCTTTTCATCTACAAGTCTTGTTCTCGATACAAAATTTCTTTTAATAAGAAGACGTTCTGCTTCAAGAGTAAGAGTCTCTTGATTTAAAAGGAAAGTAGAATAATATCTAGTACATTCTAGATATCTAATAGATATATTTGTTAGAATATTAATAGAGTCCATTTATTAGAAAAGGAATACTCTTTCAGCGAGAATTTTCGCTTGGAATGTAGGTTTACAGGAAACTGCACCTTGCAACTAGAGTCCTTATTGTGTATTGGAATATTTTCCTTTTGGTCTCAGAAGAATTTCCTTGAAGTAATACATAACAATAAGATTATATTTTCTCGTGAGTGTCCTCTTTTTTCAATTTCTTATCGTTTTCGCTCTTCCACCTCTTTCCCTTTCATCCCTTTAAAACACAAGTACGTTTCGTACGTTGAGAGTTTAGAAAATTTATCGAAAAGAAAACCAACATTTTACTAGTAAAATATCAGTTTTTAAGGCTAAGAGAGAAAAGTCAGTTGTATTTTCGTGGAATCCAAATGATTGGTTGAATGCGACGATTAAACGGTATTAATGTAAGGACCAATTAATTTCTCTGTCAACAGTGGCCAAAGCTTGACTCGACGCGCTTCGTTGCATTCGCTTATGGACGTACTGTTAAGCAATACTTTCAGACAGAGAGAGAGAGAAGACCGCAATCGAGCGGTCCCTCTTCGGCTGTTGTCAGGGGCAAAAATACAATCCGTCATACTGTACATGGCCCACATTTGCAGAACGCGTTAACAACGAAAGCGAAAGCTCGACGCGTGCGCGCGCGCTCGTGGTAGCACTTTCACGGCGCGTTTCGGAAAAATGTAAGATCTAGCACGCGCAGATACGACAGAATATCTTACGAGATTAAATCACTCTCTCTCTCTCTCTCTCTCTCTCTCTCTCTCTCTCTCTCTCTCTCTTTCTTTCTCTACTAATATGTCAAAACATTCCTCGACGTATCAACGATCCCCCGGCAAATAAGGTGCGAATGAATAATAAAGCATCCACGACAAGGTACTTCCACGATATTCAAATTTTCGTTAAGGCTTTTTTGGTTTCTCGTCACGGAACTCTTGCAGATTGATGACGTCGAGAAGCGAGGAAATGCATGCTCTCGCTAGAATGGGCATACATTTCCTGACTTCTAATGTCATGAAACAAGATGACCGCAGCGAAGGGCAAGAAGCTTTGAGGCGATTGCGTTGGAACTGCAGATGAAAAACGATTTATCGCTCTATTCTGCTAATGCTTGCGCTTACTTTGACTCACTTATTCGCAATTCTCGTTATTTCGCAAAAATTGCGCTGGATTTTAAATCGAAACAAGCGAAACTCCGCTGCGTCAATCAAATTGTCCTTCCGTCAGCAAAATTCTCAATTGTACGCCGCTGCAAGTAGGACAGCGAGAAAGTAATTAGCATCGACGGGACATAAAGAGCACGTTAAAGAATATCTGGCTGATGCGATTTATGAAATGAATTAGGAAACGAGATTACTCAGTTTTGAAGAATTAATGGAAAAATAAGTGAAAGACTCTGTATTCAATCGCAAACAGTTGAAAAAAACTTTGAAAGCCCGTGCACGAATTTTAGAGTGCAATCAACTAGAAAATAATCAATTTAAATTCTCATCAAATAAAGACATAATTATTTCACGATTGAATTCAGAATTTGATAATTGCGTTACCATTTTGGATTTTTCTCTCTCAATCGTTGATTTCTTGATATAAAACTCAAATTAACTTGTAAGTTTGATGAAGCAATTCAGTCATCGGCATTATTTTCCCTGAGTAAACAACTAAAAAATACTTGCTCTGATTAGAGTTACTTGACAAAAATATTTCTTGTAATCCCATGCAACTTTTACGAATAAAACGAATAACATTTCGAATTACGTATTGTTTTAGATATTCAATAACTTTCTGTTCTCTTAAATCTCAAATTTTTATTTTACAAACCTCAGGAATTTAATTGAAAAATATCAAATTTATTGCACCAATCTAACGCTATTTTAAATGTGGTAAAATGATTATCTGATTAAATTGACTAACTCACGTATGGGAGTACTTTATAAGAAGATTTTAAGTTCGATGACTTTATCATAGCCAACTGGAGTCAATTGCTAATCTGTGCAGCGCGTAAAAACGCGCATACGAGAAAGACCCTCTATTAATAATCTCATTGACGACTTCTCCCAGTCGTCAGGTATGAATTATTCAAACATCGTCGAAACTTCCGCGGCTCATTTGTTGCCTTTAAAGAGTCGTGCGAGATTCAGACAGCAGCTCGAGCCCGATTATTTATTAACAATGCTGTCCATGATCGAGATATAACACCAGCATTAGTACACGGAAAAAAAAGATTTGCTAATATATGAACAAATAAAATTATTAACTGCAGGAGCAAATTTTCTTACTTTCATAGCAAAGTTATTTAGTTGTGATAGATAAAAGATTTGCTAATATATATATATTAGCAAATCTTTTTACAACTAAATAACTTTGCTATAAAAGCAAGAAAATTTGCTCCTGCAATTAATATTTTTGGTTGTCCATATATTAGCAAATCTTTTTTTCCGTGTAGTCATCGCTTGAAACTTATCTCAGGTGAGACATTCAGATTTGAATTTTTTAGCTGAATCGCACGATTTACAAACGTAACGTCGCACAAGTTGTGTAATTCAAATAAAAAGCTCAAATCTAATTCTAAATTCATGTCTGAGTATCTCACGTGTGGGGGACAAGTTTCAAGTAATGACTATTAATGCCGGCCTCAGTCTCGAGTTAAAAACTGAACGATGCAATTGACGCAGCGGCGACCTGAGTCCACTTCTGTCAGCTGCAGCGTCGCATACGTGTGCGCGTGTGAACCTGTGATCCGCACACACGCGCGCGCACGCGTGTGCGAGGAATTAAATAATTGCTCCAACATATATTATGTGGCGGTGAATGCGGAGGAGAGACTCAAGACAAGGTAAATTGACTTAACTGCTAAGAACCATTTTGACCATAAACGCAATTGAGCGTGACGCAATCGGGCCGATCGTGTAACAGTTCCAAACAACTCGTAAATCTGCGTCTCTTGCAGCAATGAGCAAAATCGATGATAACACACGGAGGAAACCTCGCACGACAATATACACAAATATGTCCTCACTATGTAAACTGATTAGCTGGTGTTTACCGAGTTACAAGATTCTCCAAACGCTACCCTCGAACTTGAAAAAAATAAACTGACCTGATTGTAAGCTGATGATAACAAACGAGAAATAATCCCATCTTTTTCACCTGAAACTTTAGAGACAGATTAAAATGGAGCAAAACTATATTAAGATTTTTCAGATACTTTCAGAAAAAAAAATAAACAAATCAAGAAACATTTCAAACCAAGAAAAATGTCAAGACCCTTAGAAAGAGTGTGAAATAATTTGAATCAATACTTAAAGAAGATATTTATTTCAAATGTTTTTATTTTTTCTCTTAAATTTTTTTTTTACTTCTATTTATTAATAGTCAGGCAAAAACCTAACTAATTAAATCAATAATCATACCACTTTTTATTACTTATTTCCTTGCTTTAAATTGCATCTTGACAAACAATCACTCACTCAGAGTGAACTTTTTGGTGAAGCGCCTTTGTAATTTAAATTATTACTTGTTGCGTTGTTTCTTAATTCGACTCAAAATCAATTTATAATAATTATAACCTATCATTATTGCACTCTCACAGTTGTATCTCTTGTTTTGTATAATCAAAGAGTTTCCCAAGAATAATTAAATAAATAAACAAAAGAAATTTCCTTCAAAACTTGTCCATTTTCGAAGGATTGATAATTTTTACGAATGAATAACATCAACTATTTCTTGGGATATCAAACAAGAACTTCTCTTTTGAATATCCAAACTTGCCACCACAATTTTATGACAAATCTTTTGCATTAAACTAATACGATCGGGATTAACTGCGCATAAAAGGAGGACAAGCGAGGCTTCAGCAGTACGGTCAAGTTCATTGCTACTTTATTAAAAATGTAAAATGATTGAGGCGATCCAGGTACAAAGATCATACAGTTCGATGTGCGCGTCTCTAGTGAGAGCCTCACGGGAACCAAATGACAGTCTTGATACCGGAAACAGTCTCGTCGTTGAGCGGGTATGAGCGCGCCCCTACGCGTCGTGATATCTGCAGTAAGCGCTGTCCTCGATGAGTTCCTCGGGAATCCACTCCTCCGCCGGAAACTGGTGCGAGAGAGTCGCCGCGTGATTCTCCACTTCCTTGAGGACGCGCAACAAATTCCCGCCCACCAGCTTCTTGATGTCCGTCGCGGACCATCTCCGATCTCTAGTTAGCTCGGCCAGCAGCAGGGGGTAGCCGGAAACGTCTGGCAATTCCGTCGGCGGCCTGGACAAGTGTAATTCTTTGCTTTTACTCTCTCACCATGTCTCCGAGCTCATTATCGCATCTTCTTTCTTTTCTCTTTTGAGGTATGTTCATGCAATTGAACAAAAGAATGGATCCTTATAATCTCAATGATATTTTTAGCTTTCTGTTTATGCATATTTTTTGCACAATTAAAAAATATCCTGAACCAATAAGATAACAATAAAGAAATTTAATTCGCAACGGTTTTTGAGAAAATTATAACTCGATTTTCACCATTCAATCAATATTGCAAAGTCAATAGGCAAATTTTACAGTAAATTTATGTTAATTCGAGTCGCATCATCATCTTCTGCTTCGCACTCCAAGTATAATTCATGTGCTTTACGAGTCAATGAGTCATCTTGCACTTTTGTTTCACTGAAGTACACTCACCACGAATATAACAAAACTAATCGCTTCTATTAACATTTTTGTGAGTGACGAATTGCAATTTCGCTCGTAGAATAATGCTATTAATGATACTCACTTCGCTTGCTATACCTGAATTCAGCAGATAAAAATTAGGAACAATTGATAACTCTTATTTTCAGCGCAAAATGGCTGTTGGCCGGTGTACTTTGGCTAAGATTTTTGAACATCGAACGATTATTTTTCTTCTGTTCAATTATATATAAAAAAGAACGTTCTAAGAGGAGAAACCGTTCCGTGTTATTGGCGAATGATAAGACGTTAATATAAAATTTGAGTGATGCTTTAAATACCTCAGTATCCCATCGTAACCCGCGCCGAGGCCCACATGATTCACGCCAGCTGTTTGTCTGATATGATTGATGTGAGCTGTAAAAATGCGAGTATGCGTATGTGTCTCAATCGTCCCTTATTTCTACGTGTAAGTTTCTTTTTTATATTTTTTTTTTCTTTTTCGACGTTCGCTAATTTGACTCCACTTACGCACCTATAATGTCGTACATGGAGGCTTTATCGCTGCAGCTCAAATGGGCGCTGTCGAAACTAACCATAACCAGACCTCCATTGAGGGACTGAGGCAAACAGAGATGAAAGCCACACGATTAATCCACAAGCAAATATTATGTCAGCGCGACGATACGCGTGATTAGCGTTGTTCCGTGGCCGGCGAATACCCGCATCATCAACCATTGTTCCGTCATCTTCATCTCGCGTATCGATGTGTTAGGTCGGTGCAAGAGGTGCGCCGTGTTTGTTAAATGAAATAAAGAGCGAAATTATATCCAATTGCAAAGGATCAATCATTTTTACGAATAAAATAAACAGTATCGACTCGTACTTACCCAAAAATCTGATACATGATTTGTTTTTAACAGGATCCTCTTACACTAAGAAAACAGTGTTTGATATTTATAACTATGATCACATAACAATAACAAATGTTATTATTAATAACAAATAACTGTAACTTTAGTTAGATCAATCATTTTTTTCTCAATGTATATATGACCTCAAGAAGGATTCTAAAACCAAACCAAAAGGAAAATATTCTAAAAGAAAGAACTTTAGTTGCAAAATACTATTTCCTGTAATAATCTAAACCAGAATTTTTATCGACAGAATTTCCTTTTTAAATAGAAAATTAACTATTAATAAAAGATTTACTAGATATTGTTCTTTTTCTCTCTTTCAAGTCAAGAAGAATACGTTTACTTGATACAGAATGCCTTTCTACCAGAAAAAAATTTCTATTAAAAACAAAGATTGTACTGTAAATATAAAACGAAATTCCTGTAACTTTCAGAATATTATGCTTAGAATATTTTCCTTCCAGAAGAAGAAGAATTTTTTCAGTTTTAGAAAAATCCTCTCGAGCCCATATATAAAAGAAATTTGCTAAAGATAGGAATATATTTTCTGGGTATCTTTTAGACGTCTAACAAAGAGTTTCTTTTTTTGCTGATGACCAAAATTTTCTACAAGAATTTAATAGAAAAATAACAAATCTTTTACACCAACCTGACACATCGAATCTTTTTTAAATCAACATATATACGCATGGTAGAAACATTGATGACATAAGAAATTGATTTCTATACGATGACAGGACGCGCAAATAGACGCCGAATTTGTTGTATTAAAATTTTTGACAAAAATTGAATTTTCGGCATAATTAAAAATATACAACATTGAATTTAAACAATTTGAACAATTCTTATTTTTTCCATGTCACTGTTTTATCGTAAACACTTTTATTTCCCCGAGAAAGGAATGAGAAATTAGCCTTCAGATAAACTCAAAATATTTGAAAAAAAAAGTGTAAATACTTTAGAAAATTACGATATAACCAGGAACACACATCAGTTATCAGTGTGATGCGTTTGAAGTTAGGAAGACGGATCTACTTCTAAGTGTTCATTTATCCACAGTGTGTTTACCGCAATGGCCCTCGAGAGACAGCGTCTTAAATAGATACGTTTAGTGCCACCCGCGCGCACGCTCATTCCTGGCATTTCTCTATCTCACCAAATTCTGCAGCACGTCGTCCGGGACATTGCTCGAGGAATTACAGAGCGCTTTGGCTGCGCTGTGCGAGAATATGACCGGAGCCTTCGTCACCGCGAGGGCGTCTCGCATCGTCCTGATTGAAACGTGAGAGAGGTCCACGAGCATGCCCAGGCGATTCAACTCCCCGACGACCGCCTTGCCAAATTCTGAGAGGCCGTCGCTGTGGAAATCAGACGGCGCGTCCGAGTTCGGATCGTCGACGGAACATGAATCCGCCCTGAAAATCGAAACCGTATCTCTTGACGCTCGATCTCGCTAAACTGAACAATACAGCAACAAGTGAGTTTATCCGTATACACATGCCTTTTCATGTAGTGGTATCATTTTTTATATCAGTTGTATCCCAGAAATGCGACTCAGTCACATAGGTCTTTTTTGTGTGATTATAAATCTTTTAAACACGGATTATATCAACTTTGTGATTATTATGTGCGCGATTATTTTTTTCCCTCGGATAACTAAGTTCCAAACAGTTCGTTATGTGAACGTCACTTCGTTAACTAGACAATAATCATAAAAAAGCTCTCTCTTTTGTGTAAACGTTATTAATTAATTTATTAATTTAGTTATTAATTAAACGTTATTAATTACGTTGTAATTCTGCAACTGGTTATGTAGTTTATTCTTGTATTTTCTTCACCATTTTTAAAATGGATCCCTTCTATATATATATATATATATATATATATATATATATATATATATATATATATATTTCTCATATTATTAGTTCGTGTTTACTGGGTAATAGTTTAATCGAAATTGCAATTACTCCAGGCAGTATCAACAACGTATACGAGGATCTCGAGCGCATTCGACTCGATCAAAGACGGAAGAAGATAACATGTTCTAATTACGTCGCGTTTCCTTTTAACTCTGCTCGTATCGTTTATTTTTGCTTAAGTATCAGTTCTCAGCTGGTCAGCAAGACGAACCTTTACTTTCATTTATCAAACCAGTCGACTGACCGGAGAATCTCGGAAGAATAACAAATAACAGAAATATCATCCAACAGAGAGCACCAGTTTGCTGTCATAAACTTTATTTACTCCCTCCCGCTGTCGCCGCCGCGCCAAGCTCACGCTTACGTGCGTATGGCCGAGATGTTGATCGTGGAACTTACCACGGAGTGTTACACTTGTGGGTCAGGGTCATGTAACGCGCGCCCAACCGGTGGAAACTTCTCAGCACCGCCATGGAAGTGCCGATGCTGTGGCCACCCTCGATGCCCACCAGGCTGGCGATCACCCCGTCCCGGTGAGCGTTCTCTAGCTCGTCGCTCGTCGTCACCAGTCTGATTCGCTTGGGGTAGCGCGTGGTCAGCCTGCGCACGATGTCGATCTGCTCCAGGGTGAGCTGAACGGCGTCGAGGAACTGCGCCTCGCAGGGCACGTAGGCCGACCAGAACTGCGCGCCGACGATGCCCTGCTGCAGGCGAATCAGGTCGGTCTGCCACTGCGGACCCCAGCTGGAGTTGCGCGACAGGTCCTCGTCGAAGGGGAAGTTATCCAGCTTCGTGCTGCCGCGGTGCTTGCGGAGGTTCCAGGCGAAGTCGTTGTGTCTGTTTGGTGATTTGTACGGACTTTGAGACACGACCAATGTCGAATGATCGACGGCGCTATACGGGAGTTCACCCTCCGTTTCTACAACTATCGCTTCGAGCTATCGCCGTTACCCGTCGATCAGAGGGACCTCCGAGAGCATTCTGCGCACCACTTGCAGTCTGGCCTCCAACAGGTGAGAACTTCGAAGTTCCAGGGCGAGCGGCAGACCCACTCCGGCCACCAAGGCACATCCAAGGAAGAAAAATCCAGCCATTACCACCCATTTCCTTATCACGCTACGTCCTGGAATATTGTCCATCGTTGACGATTAATTTATTAGAACCATGTGCTGCGATCATATACTAAGAAAAAAGGATGATTGATCTAACTAAAGTCATAGTTATTTTCGGTCTCAACTATATTTTTTAGTTGTTCGAAGATGAAGATATTAGGTCAATAATATATAAAACATCTATATTTTGCAAATTATGTTTTCAGCAAATTGTGTTTCGCAGTTGTCATTGATACAAGCAATGAGGAATACAAAAAATATTAGAACCAAATGGAGTCTAAATGACTCTTTCGGGCGTCTAAAGAGGATTGTCGTTTGGGTCTTTTGTGCCACTGCTGAAGATCTGTTTCTGCACAATCAATTTGCTAATTGCCTCGATATTTACCAACAATGAGCGAAATTGACAAACAATACGATAAAAGCAGCATCATAGAGCGATGATGATCGGCGGGACAACCGCGGCGGAATCTTCTCAGACCAGTCGGGAAGACCAGTCGAGCGTGGATCGTATCTATTCGCACGTGAAATCGCCGTGACCGAAACTTCGATTCGCCGGCTGCGGCCGGATCGAGTATGAGATGAAATCGGATAGGTAGATTGTCGAGCCGTGAATAGAAATCATACCAAATCGCGAAACTCCGTTGCGTCTCGCCACGCTCGTCCTTTCTCATCGCGCCTTCGCTTTTCTTCGCTCGAGGCTTTACGTAAGCGAGCTCGTTGACGTGCGAAATTGGAAAAAAAAGAAAGAAAAGTCGAGATTGTCGTTCGGTCATCGGGAACGACGTGATACCGAGAGGGGAAGAGCAAGAGGGAGAGACGGGGGATGATAGGGTAATCGAGAAAGCGCGAGGCGATCAAGCGCGGCACGCGAAAATTAAATCTGTATTAGTTTGAATCAACACACCTCGCGTCCATCATTACCCGTGCTAATCGCGGCGATTATAATCATTAGCCTGACACGAGCATGTATGCTATATTTAAGCGTGTTGTATATCTGATAGCAGAAATAATGATAAAAGTTAATAGTATAAAACGAGCACGTTTAACTCACGCATCTATACATTATTCATTAATGCCGTGCTCATGAATTTATTAATTATGTAATAATTATTTAAGTAGTATCTATATGTGTGTGTGTGTTTCTGTACAGTATTAATTTATCTAATTATAGCCAGAAAATCTACCATGCTAATTGAAATTTTCAATGCAAAACACACTGTAAGTAAGATAAATAAGTGAGTAAATGAAATTAAATATTGTACGTTTGATTACTATCCTGAGATTGCTGGATCGATAATGTTAACGCACGTAGAAAAATAGCATTCTACGAAAAATGATTACTCAATTTACTTTCTTTCTTTTAAATAATGCTTAACTTTCTGATAAAGAATATTTTCTCGACAATAGTCTTAAAATATATTTATTGCAAATTTTAGAAAAGCTCGTTACGTAAGCTCGAAAAGCGAAATTCTACAGAGATATTATAAAACTTGTTTGAAAAAAAGTTGGCTCGACTCCACATAATACATACTGAGAGAAAAAATATTTAAGAAGTAAAATTATTTATATATTCGGTGAGTACTAATAATATATTCATTTAAATACTAATGCAAAATATTTTTCAAGTAAGAAGATATACATTTTTTAAATCTTAGCTTTTCATGAAAACAGTTGTATTTATTCTATTTAAATAAAGAAATTGTGATTTAAGCAATATGTTATTCACCGAAGAAATGTTTCTTATTTTTTAGATATTTTTTTTCCCAGTGTAAGCAAACCGAATTTTTGTTTTAATTTCATATTCTTGATTGAATATTAAATTTCTTAAAGCTTAAAGGGAATGTATTTTGAATAAATTTGATGCTTACGATAAAGTTATGACAGATTCGCGGATATATAAACTCATGAAATATTTGAAACAAGTAGCTTGAGTGCAGGATGTATTTCTTTTGTACGTGGGACGCAAAATGTTACCAGATAATAAATGGCTTGAGATATTCTGTTTTCTATAATTAATGGGAATAAACAATTAATGATTATACACTCACTGCTCTCTCTTGGCGATTCTTTGGCCTTGTCGAAGGAAGTCGAGACACCGGTGTCCTTGATGTGAAGTGCATCGCCGTTGGGCAATTTTCTCAGCTCCGTCGAGGAGAGTTGCAGACAGGTCTGCAAAATTCCGTCGATTTACAAAGCTGACGCGCGGCAACATCACGTCGAGTGACAAGTCGCGAGGAATCCCGAGTTTGCGAAGATTGTATAACTGTTTTTCCGCGTTGCACGAGTGAGCCGGCATCACACCGGTATTAATAGCTCGTAATTGATGAAAGAGCGAAGAAAAACACAAAAGCACGGTCGAGGAAAAACGCGTTTGCCTTGGGACAAAAAAAAACCAGCCGGCGAAGAGATCGCAGACGTCTCTGAATTTCCGCGAGACTCAAAAGCGTCTGGAAGCGCACCGTCGATAAATTATCCCGATGCAATTTACGTGGACTCGTGCGAAGTATCTTTCAGCGGTCGCTCCGTGACGCGGCCGCACTGAGAACACGTGCGACACACATCTACGAGTAATCCGAACGTACGCCTCTCCGACGTTGTATCACACCGTCGTAACCCGAATGTCTCGTTGTTTTGCACGAGAGTTATATCGTCGCAAAAGTCATCGCACTGCGGTGAGGGCGGCGATGCAGCGCACACGTACGTGTGCACACGCGTGCGTGTGCGTTCACGTCTGGCTCGGCCGCGTGCAATTGCAAAAGGGGTGCGCCGTAGATTACACTTCAACGGATTCCCCCGCCCTCCTCCTCCACCCCCCCCCCCCCCC